ACTGTACCCAGGTCTAGGATCCGAGACTGTACCCAGGTCTAGGATCCAAGACTGTACCCAAGTCTAGGATCCGAGACTGTACCCAGGTCTAGGAGAGCCCACACACTCTGGAGCTTTTATTTGGATTAAGCTCAGTCCTTCACTCGTCTGTACCTTTAAAACAACAAACAAACAAACAAACAAACAAACAAACAAACAAGTCATCATGTTTACATCACAGTCTAAAGTAATAAACTCAAAGCAGAACAAATTAAAGTTGCTACTAACATTTTTACTCATTCAAAAAGATTTTCACTAAATGTTATATTTATTTTATTGATCGTTATTTTAGATTTACTTTTATATTTTTGCATTCGGTGTTGTTCACTTTTCTACCGGTTCTGCTTTGACTCCGATCAGTTCCTCTGCTGACTCGTAGTTGTGTCTGTTAACTTCAGCGCCGGAGTCAATCTGGGTTTGACTTGTCCTCAAAGAGGCCTTCCTCAAGAAAGAAATACTTTAAGAGAACAAATGTACAAATGTAGGAAGCTATACCCTAAATATTAACTTGGGTTATGGAATATTTTCAGTACAGACATAAGTATCTCACTGCTTTATTCACATAGAAGATGTTTTTTTTTTGTGGGGGCAGAACACACTCATAGTTCTAGTTCTGACAACGTTACAGTTTTCAAAAATGTTGTAAATTATATGTACATACACGATCTATTTTAAGTCTGCTTTAATAACTGGTTTTACAGCCGGTAATGTCTGTGTGCTTCTGCCATTCTTGGCCTGGCCACTCCTGAAAAAAGTGATTTTTTTAGGTCTCAGTCAGATCCAACTGGTTAAATAAAGGTTTAAAAAATATTAACACTCAGTCTCCTAACAAAAGGAGCCCAGGCTCAACTCAGGACTAGAACCAGGACATTGTTGCTGTGTGTTTACAGTGTGGAGGTTTAGCATGTAGCTAAGCTAACTACAACAGAGCAGTTCCAGCACAAGTACAGTTTTACTGTGACGTTGTTTAACACATTATTAATATATAAGTTTTTGTTTAAGGGAATAAAAGTGATCGGAGCAGATTCTTAACGTTTTCTAAGGCAGATCCTTGTGGCTGATGTTTCCCAACAAGACTCGCCCGACGTTCAGCACTCAGATCCTCCGTTTCAGGTCCTTACATTTCCTGAGTTTTGGAATGAAGTGAAAACTGCTGTTTGCTGAACTGTCTGCCTGGTTTAACATCCTCTAACCCGACATGAAACAACAATGAGATTTACTTAGAAAACAAAATAAAATACTCAATGTAGCCATTGTGTGCCTACTAAAATGGTGGCTAGCAACAAAGTGCCCGGACGCGTTACATCCCATGAGAATACACAAGTATTGTTT